ACCGGTTTCGATCTTGCTTAAGGATCTCATCAGATGGCTTAAGATCTATTCAAGTTTAGAAAAATTTCAAAGAAAAAATTCAAAACTAAATAGAAAAATCAAAATTCAATGTTATAAATATAATTTTAAATAAATCAATATATAAAAACTAAATTTATAATAGAATCTTAAAATTATTTGGCAGTAGTGTGAAGAAGCTGCCATGACCGGTTTCGATCTTGCTTAAGGATCTCATCAGATGGCTTAAGATCTATTCAAGTTTAGAAAAATTTCAAAGAAAAAATTCAAAACTAAATAGAAAAATCAAAATTCAATGTTATAAATATTTTATGAGAGAGAGTGAAAGTTGTTAAGGTTCAGAATTTTTTTTTGTTTTTTATGAGAAAGTTTGAATTTTATGAAAGATAGTTTTAATGAATTTTGGGTCGTTTGGAATGAAAAAAAGAATCTTAACTTTCGATTGAATGTTATCAATTCTCACATCTCTTTTATTGAATATTCGTATACCAAGTTAAGGGAAATAATGAGATGAATAGTTCGTTCAATGGGCAGTGTTTATGGATGTAGATGATGGTGATGTATGTTTCATATTTGATTATTATTTTTTTGGATTTTGTTGGTTTAGTAGACGATGCCTGTTCTTTTTGCGTTTTTCATCTAGAATGAATAAAGGAATGGATAATATATAATATTTTTAAAGGGTATTTTTTTTCTGTTTTATTGATCATACTTGCTTTAGCTTTGTTTTTTAATATGGCCTGTCTTGGACGTTTTCGAATTAGTTCTTTCATTATGCTTTTCTGATTTCTATTCCCAACGATCAGCTTGGTTTCGAGTATTGATGTGTTTGCGAATGTTTCTTGAAAGATACGATGCAGGTCCCGCTTACGTGTGTTGAATCGTTTCTCATGTGTATAATGAATTATAAGTTTATTTTGAAATTCGTTTGGTTTCTTTTTTTCTTGAATGGTGGCTTCTTGTTTGTTCTCTAATTCTTCAATTAAATGTTCATCATCGGTCGTAAGTGTTGCAATTCTCATTTCGACTTGAGATTGTTGTCGACTTGGTTGTCCAGATAATGCAATACGCATATGTAAGAATTGATCTTCATTGCCAATAAATGGTAGAAAAGATCGAGATGATATGTAGCCAGAAAAAAATTTTCGAAATATATTGTCGATAAATGAAGAAGGGTAACTATAGAAAAAAATCTATGAGAATAGTAAATGGATCAACAATAAACTTACCCATTGTACAAAAATGTTGATTTGATATATCTTCTCTCATCATTGAATAATTGAAAAGTTGATGAATATTTGATTGCACGTCGAAGACTTGTTTGTACAATGTTTTCGAATACATGTCGAGGATGATCAGAAATAAATGGTACAACATAGGGTTCTGCTGCTGGTTTATGATACACAGATGTTGATAGAGTGCCATTGATATTTGTAAGGAGAACATCAAGAAATGGAAGACTTTTACCGATTTTATATTCTAGTTTAATATTTGGATGCCAAGTATTTGCATTTTCTAATATTTACTTCAATGCATTTGCCAATTTATTTCATGTCATAAAAACATCATCAATATACCTATCAAAATTATTGAAAATAAAATTAGTTATTACTCTAAATTTACTTCTACTTACCGTCCATAATACTCACCTGTCATATCTTGTCGACGAACAAGTTCTTTTTACCATTTCCACATAAATATATTGGCTAATGTTTAATGTTAATGTAAATGATGATCCCATCGCACCACCAAGCACTTGTTGATAAATCTTTTTATCATAGACACAGACATTCTGTTCGAGTACAATAGATGCTAATTTTCTTATTGTATCGAGTGGAATTTCTTAGTTTGGTATATAAATTACTTTCGATTATCTCGTATAGAAAATTCATACTAATTATTTGATTTCCTATTCGCATTTCAGCTACTTTAGATAATAGACGATTTCTCCACTTCGTTATTAAATGTGTCGGATCTTGTAAAAAGAGAAATATTTGTCTTTGTCCCAAAAAAAACCATGACCATTGCCATTGCCCTCCTATTTTGATCTGAAATGCATCAGAATGACTGAAATGTTGAGAGTTTGACAAAAGTGCAATAAAACCACATGTTAGCCGCATTGCTCGGACATATTTTGGATCACCGTCTAGTTAATAAAAACGAAAAGTAAGTAAAGCAGAAAAATGAAATCCTTAAACATCCAGTGTTAATCAAAATTTCTGAGATTATTTATCCTAGTTGTACCGTAGTTGTAACATGTATGAAAGAAATTTCTCGTTTGTAAAACAAATCTACAGGATACACACGGAATGTTGCCATAGCTTTAGGATTCTATCAAATAAACATTAAGTACAACAATTGTAGTAAAATTTGAATTCAAAACTATTAAATTAGTCATCTTTATTGTGTTAATGAAAGGATTGTGGTAATGAAAATAAATGGCAATAATAGTACTTATCAATTCGAATTATTAGAAGTTTGATAACTAAACTTAATGAATGTTTTTATCTATGTCAATAATTCATATAAACGTGTCTTCAAGAAAAAGCATGATCAGTCAAGGCATCACGAGTTTTGAAATGAGGCTAAAAGATGCAGTCAGTTATGTTTTCTTGGGACTCATAAAAATCTAAGGACAATTTTTGGATTTCACTTGAATTATTTTTAGTATCTTCATATAAATTCAGCTTTATCTGATGTATGTCATAATTCATGTATATTTTATACGTGTATGCCTCTAATATAAATTATAATATGCCTTATTCGTTTTTCTACATAATAGACCAATTATTTTTCAAAAAGTATAATTATTTTGTGAGTTTTAATCCTCAAAAAATGAAGATTTCTTTTTGAGTATGTTCAGGGCTAAGGTATCGGACTAGTGTGCATCAAGCAATACAACTGATGGTGAATCAAACATCTCATTAATTTATGCTACAGATCTCAATCAGTTCTCGCAATGCGAGCTGATGTGACCCACACCTTTTTGTGGCAGTTGGTATGATTAAACGTTTGGTCTCATTTAATTAGGATATAATGAGTGATTATATCACATCCAGCTTAAATAAAACAAGTTTGCAACCCAACGTTCGACTCATTTTTTCAGGTTGATGAACAATATGCACAAATTCGTAATCGTCATACTTCAATTCGAATTCTCATTTAATACAAAACATCTCATGATGTTAAAAAAAGATTTCGACTCAAAGATGTTACCTGTAGAGAAGCCGATAATTCGTATTTGATTCTGAATACAATTATTATAAATATAAATCCATCTTTTTATTATATCTATGGCAGTTGCCGTATTATCAACACCATAGGCACTCAAAAGAAATGATGCAGGTGAATTTATATGATTTGATTGTGGAATAGGCTGGAACATATGAATATTTAATAATGCAGATTTTTCTATGTTTTCAAACCAATATTGAAGTTGTTCGTAGGAGTCAGTTCGATAATAATTACAAATCGGTACTCCGTTAGATAAATTTGTATTAAAACCAACAAATGAATTTGTGTTAGCATCATATTTGATCTTTTTAATAACACCGGTGCAATCTTCAGCACAAAAATCAAATTTTACATTTGCTGTTTCAAGGTATTGTTTGAGGGCAACGAAACAAAATTGACCTTCTGTTAAAATAGGATTAGTATTCGATATTAGTTTATTTGTGGTTGTTAAATTAGAAAGTGCACCAATAATATTAATTTGAAAGAATTCATAGCATTGTTTACCACCTAATATATACAATACTAAGGCAAAATCTTTCATACAATCATCATATCGATAACTTTGTTTTGATTTAACGATGTTTTTTGTTATGGTATCTATGAAAGACGACGTGAATAAATTCTTATTCTTGTTATTATTATTATTCGAATATTGATTCTGCGAATACTAATCTATTATTGATCGCAACATTGGATTTTGATTAATGAGTTCATAGTATGTTTCTTTTTGTAAATTAGTCGTAATACTATGCTGTTCTATAAATTTCTTTTCTAATATTGCTGTCAAATAGTTCATATTATTTAATACTCCTGTGCGAATAGTGTATTCTCCATTTCTCATTTTCAAGCATGCTTTGATTCTTATGTCGTCAATTTCTTCAGAATCATACTTGAATATTCCAAAAACATCAGTTGTATTCAAAAAATTATTTGTAGAATCAATCATTTGAATTTCGAGAATATTGCAAACTACTTCACCGACTAATGATCGAATAATATGAAAAAAGTCTTGACCTTTTAATGCAAATATATTGTCAGATAAAACAGATGTGTTGCAAAGATCTTCTTTTATACGTATTCATGTTCACAATGTCTAAAATAGAATATAGTCAAAATAGAAATTCTCGAACTGATTAATTAGTTGAATTTAAAATGGTAAAAAGTTAATAAGATACCATTCATATATTTGAAAGAAAACTAAGACAAATTTTTACGCTAATATTTTTTAGCATAAATCGATCCCATATACTACTCTTGTTGTAAAAATTTTAGGTAATATTCTTGATATCGTTTCTTAACTAAGTAAACAAACATATAAACTAGCTTGCAAACTATTATGAGCATTGCATAAAAATTAAAAACTATAAGTAATTATGTTTTTAGCTTCCACTCAAGCAGATGAGGTTATTTGAATTGACTTTTTTTTATATCTTCGCGATTGAAAACATGTCTCATAATGTTTGTGGCAGAATTGAGAAAAATATCTCAGATATCTTTATGATGCATGAAAAAAGTTCTTTCGGTTTCGTTATTTGTAATCTTTCACTCAATGAATGACTTGACTTCGTATTTTCAGTTTACTTTTGTATTGATTATGTGATACATGAACTGTGTTCATAAACATTGAATATCTAGATACACTGTAGTGCTCATCGCCATGAGTCTATTATGCTTGATCTTATTCATGTGTCAATTTGTAAATCAAAAAAATCAAAACGCCAGCTATTTCAGCATATCTTCATTGAAACTGATAGAACAAACTTTGCACAATAATCACCACACAAAAAATCTTAAAGAAAACCTGATGTTTAATACTATTTTTCATGAATATATATATACTAGAAGTAAAATTAAAAAAATGAATTGGCATTTTAAAAGCTCTAGAAAACCCAATGTTGGTTTTGATTTCTCATTGAAAACTATTAACTTAAACAATATGAATAAATAACATAAAAAGTCTCAAATGAGTACTCTTTTATCTAATCCATTTGGTATTAAATCAATGAATCTTGTTGTTGAATAATTGATTTTGTAATTCACTTGGAAGAATCTTTTAAATGTTTTCCATGAAGTTTTGCCCTATGGTTTCATTGTTAATGTATTCATAAACAAGTGAATAGGAGCAGAGATCCTGTAATTATTTTGTGAAAGATGTTGAGTGAAGCAAATGATGTACAGAAACTTTTTATTTTGTATATGTGCAGATATTTTCTATTTCAGCTGATAATTAGAATTTATTT